TCTCTCTCTCTCTCTCTCTCTCTCTCTCTCTCTCTCCTCTATAATATATATATATATATATGCAATATATGCATGCAAGTAATAATATATTAACAATACCTTAAAAAGTATAAAAAATATTGATATTTTATATATATGTATTAAATAGACTGTCAACCTACAAAATGATTTACTTTGGTTTTGAAAAAAGAGTTGGTTTATGATAATTCATTTAAAAAATTGTTTATTTTTTTAATAAAAAAGAAATTGAAATAAAATATTAAATATATACAAAATATATATAAAAAAAATTGCACCCTGGGAATCCTTTTTTATAACTGAATTTTCTTCAAAGATAATTTTTGTTTACTTAACATTGAAAGTTCATGCAACAACGTATGAATATAAAATAAATTTTTTTAAAATTTTTTACACAATAAAACTTGCATCCTATTTTAAAGAATATTTTGAAAGAATAATTTGAATACATTGTACTTTTTTCTCTAAATTTATTCATTGTCACTATATCTTTCAGAAGATGTATTTATTACGTATTAAAATATTATACAAATAAATAATTTAATATACGAATGGCAAATAACAGACAATAAATAAGATGCAGTCGATAAAAGTATGCATAAAGCATACATCCATTATCATAAATATTATAATATATTTTATAATAGATTTATTTTCGATATTCGTCACAAAGACAATCATTAATACTAAGCCAATTCATCATTTAAGGGGAAAAATAAAAAAATTACCGTAGTCCCTAATAATATTCCTTGTTTAAAAAATATCGACCTTTATTAATCATATTTTATATGCTCTGCATTTGTAATTGAATCGTAATTGAATTGAATTCTATTGTAAAAGTTATTAGTGCGTTTTTTTGTTTGTCTTGTTTTTTGTTTAATACAGTTAGTTAACATTCTCTTATTCTCTTAAATGTGGCATTACATTATCATAACTCTACAAAACTATGAATTTGCTCGTTTTAATGTGCTGTAATAATCGTTAATGAATACAGCGGTTTCGGAATTGGAGCAATTAAAAGGATTTATTATCGTGTAATGAAACTAAACATGCCATAACAAATTATACAATTAGGTCTGTTATAAAAGACGGACTAGCTAATAATAATTTAAAGTAAGCTCGTTTCAAAAAAGGCAAATAACACGAGACAAATAAAAAATAAATGTTAGGTGAAATAACGATTAGCCAAGGGTTGAATACATTAACGCGTTAAGTCTGAAAATAAAATACAATTTCACTGTTAAATTGAAAAATCTAAGGGAGAAAGGCGCAATTCGATAATGGCTAAATAATGCCGAAATAGACACGATGAGAATGACAAAAAAGCCATAACCACTGCTTTCCCTTCTGTCGCTGACTTTTTCTAAGCCTTTCACCATTTATTTACATACATTTTGTGACTTTAATCTCCGGTCGTATCACGAGAGAATGAAGTTAAAATAAACGACTTGCGACTAAGTTTCCAGGCAAGGAAGTTCGCGATATGCGTCACGTTTTGTGTCTCTTTCCAAGCCGCCGTTCCGACTGCCCTTACACTGCGACGGCCTCCAGGCGTTGCGAAATTTTCGCTTTTCCTTCCGCAAACAACGGCCTCGTTACGGCCACGTCATCAGCGAAAACTCGAAGGGGATTCTTGCGTGTCGCCCATGGGATGACTCTCCCATGGTTCCCGACCCTTTCTCATCATATTCAATGTGCCGCTGAA